TTTTTGTGCTATAATGTCGATCCAAGGCCTGAAAATAGATTTTAGTAGGCGAGAAAAATTATTCTTTCCATTGAAAATGTTTTTTTTTACTTATAATAATAATATTAAAGAAATTGGTACTAGCAAAAAAAATTGCTCATATGAACTATGTTAAGAATAAAACTGAACTCAATTATTTAAAGTTTACTAAACTGCGATCTGATTGTAAAAATTTATCTACTTTATCTTATAATAATTATATTTCTAAAACTGAGAATTCAATTATTAGTAATCCAAAATTTTTTTGGAATTTTGTTAATTCTACTAGACAAAACCAATGTATACCAAATCACATGTTTTTAAGAAATGAATTTGGTGATACACCACTATCAATATCTAATCTTTTTGTTAAACATTTTAAATCAGTTTATATTACTTTTCCACCACAAGCATCTGATTTATTTTCTATTAATAATGTTGAGGTGAATCTGCAATCTATATCAATTACTAGAAATGATATATTTAAAAAGATAAAAGAACTAGATGTCAATAAAGGCCCGGGCCCGGATAAAATTCCTCCTTCTTTTATAAAGTCATGTGGTTATGCTCTTATAGAGCCTCTATATATATTATTTAATAAATCATTACAAACTTGTACTTTTCCTTTGGAATGGAAGAGGGGGATAATAACTCCTGTTTACAAGTCTGATAATAGAAATAATGTTCAAAATTATAGACCAATAACTTTATTAAGTGCCATATCTAAAATATTTGAAAGTTTAATTTTTGAATCATTATATGCTGCTGTGTCAAATATTATTATTGAAGAACAACATGGATTTGTAAGAGGACGTTCCACATTAACAAACCTTGGGGTGTTTACAAATTTTATAACTATTAACCTTGAATTGGGATATCAAGTTGACGTAATTTATGCGGATTTAACCAAGGCCTTCGATAGGGTTGATCATAGTATATTGTTGACTAAACTTAAGACAATGGGTCTATCAAATGATTTACTCTTATTTTTTGGAAGCTATCTCTCTGACAGGTGTCAAGTTGTTAGAGTAAACCATGTTTACTCTGATCCTTTTTTTGCTATCTCAGGTGTTCCACAGGGATCTAATCTTGGACCACTATTTTTTGTTTTATTTATGAATGATATAAAATCAATTTTCATGAACTCTTCCTTCCTTTTGTATGCTGATGACCTTAAATGCTATAAAGTCTTGAATTCTATAAATCCGTATGAAGATCATTTATCACTTCAAGGTGATCTTGATCGATTATCGGAATGGTGTGATCTAAATCATATGTCAATCAACATTAATAAAAGTCATGTTATTTCCTTCACCAAAAAAACAACATTGTTGTATCATTACACAGTTGGTAATGACGAATTACACAGGGAGAGAATAGTTCGTGACTTAGGTGTACTTTTTACTAGTGATTTCTCTTTCAATGAACATATCTCGGATGTGGTTTCAAGAGCTTTAAGGTCCCTGGGATTCATAACGAGAAATGCATCGGTTTTTCACAGCTTTGTAACACTGAGGGTTCTATACTTTACACTTGTCAGAACGATAATTGAATATGCCTGTATTATTTGGTCACCAATGTATGTATACCAGATTATTAGACTTGAGCGTATACAAAATAGATTTCTTAGATTTGCTGCAAGACAACTTGGTATTCCTTTTGATAGATACACGCATGATTATAATAACTTACGTTCAATATTAAATATCCCTTTGGTCTCCTCAAGGTTTCTTTATGCGGATATAAGTTTCTTGTACAGACTATTAAACGGAATTATTCAGTGTCCTTCTCTTCTGTCATTAATAAATTTGTCCGTTCCAGTAAGAACAACAAGGAATTACTTACTTTTTTCTGTAGCATTTCATAGAACAAACTATGGGAACAATGCTTTAATTGATAGACTTAGTAGAGAAGCTAATTCAATTTCTAACGAAATAGACCTATTTGACAATAATTTAACAAGATTCACCTCGGCATTATGTAGATTAATACTAAATAATAATTAAAATGCACCAACCTAGTTATAATTATATTTATATTTTTTATATACAAGTTTGTATCTATATTATAATAAGTACTATTGTACGAAAGGGCATGTCCCGTTAACTTAATAAATGAAATGAAATGAAATGAAATATAGAAAAAAAATAATAATAAATTAACTTACTCAGAAGCCCAGCAGAAAAAGTTGCGATTATAAAAATCATGTTCAACATAATATTGTAGATATACTTTGCAGTTCAACTATAACAAAATTAATATTTAGATTTCTTTTTATAATCGAACTATCCCTATTTTTTATTCTTTCTGAGCCAATATATGACGTGTAGATGCAATTATTTATTTTAACTAAATAAACATTACGCATTTATAATATATTGTGAAATATCATATTTCAACAAATGACGTACAAGATATTTATAAATATAATTGTTAAAATTTTGATTTTCATGACAATGATTAAATTTACATTTATATTTTTATTTCTGTGGAATTTGAAAACTTAATCAGCCTTGAAAAAAAAATTTATAAAAAATTTAATAGTTATGCAAATAGGGAAATCGAGACTCATGTGAGTTTAACCTTGAGTTTAACACACGAACAAAGCGAGTGCGTCAAACTCATACGAGTCTCGATTTCTCCTATTTGCGCCCATGCGCACGTTTCTTAATGTTACATTTTTTTTTAATTCAGATATTTATTTTCAATATCTGCGTATAAACTGTAAAAATTTAGTTTTTAGTTTTATGTAAATTTAACGTTTTCAAAGTTAGTTCCTTATGCGTCATTTTTTATTCTTCAGAAAATTGCTTTCATAGAGCACTTGAACAAATCTTTCCATACCTTGAAAGAAGAAAATATTTTAAATTATACAAATTTTTTTAATTTATACAAAAATAAGATTTCCTCGTTGTTTAAAACTTGCAAAATTTTTTATATGTACATAGAGAATTTTTTTTATTTGGGTTTATTTGTGAAACAAATAAAATTTATTAGAATCAAAAATATAATTTTAATTGATTTAAATAAACAGTTGATTTGCGCTAAATAAACATTTATTGAATTTAAAAAAAAAAATTACATTTTTTTATAATTCAATTGTTACTCGGGGGTTTTTGGTGTGTCGCTGATTACAAATCCAATGTTAGTTTTTCAAAATTCAAAATGTGGATTCAATATGTGCTCATTGTAGTACAAAAGCTGACCAAAAGCGAACGTCCTGGATTTGTAAAACTGAACAAATTTCATATATAGCATAATTTTTAATTTATTAGTACAATAGATTAAAAAATGTCCTAAAAACACACTTCCATCGTTGACGTTAAATTTCAAAAAATCATAACTTCCTTCATTTTTATCAAGTAAAAAAATAAAAAAATACGTATATCCTTATTTTTCATATAGATTTCGAAAAAAATGATTCAGGTAAAAAAAAATTTTAAATGTAAATATCCCGTGGAATGTTCCATATGCAATATTCATATATTAATCTTTCAAATTAAAAATAATTTTTAAATTTTTATATTATTTTTTTTATTTTTAAATTTATAAATTTACTTCAGAATTTAAAAATATTTATTAACAATAAAATTTTCTTATACGATTAAAAATGAATTATATAGAAATGTCAGTTTTTTTAACCCTTTGAGTCACGCAATTAAGGATGAGGCCGACATTTTTCAAAACCTGATGTCTAGAACGTTTTCGGGGTCGCTGATTACGAATTTGAGGTCAGATTTAAAAAATTTTTTAATTCAAAATGGCGGATCCAATATGGTGAACGATTTCTTGTTGGTAATAGGCAGAGCGGAACATTGCAAGTTTTACAAATCCAGGACGTTCGCTTTTGGTCAACTTTTGTACTACAATGAACACATATTGGATATACATTTTGAATTTTGAAAAACTAACATTGAATTCGTAATCAGCGACCCGAAAACCCCCGAGTAACAAGTTTAAAGCAAATTTCGTGGATTTTTAAAACTTACGGTCGCCATATTGTAACCGCCATTTTGAATTTTCAGAAACTGACTTCAGATTCATAATCAAAGACCCCAAAAACCCCCGAGTAACAAGTTTTAAACGAATTGCATTAGATTTTCCAGAAGTCGTCCGCCATTTTGGATCCGCTATTTTGAATTTTTAAAAACTGATTTTAGATTCGTAATCAGCGACACAAAAAACCCCCGAGTAACAATTGAATTATATAAAAATGTAATTTTTTTTTTAAATTTAATAAATGTTTATTTAGCGCAAATCAGCTGTTTATTTAAATCAATTAAAATTATATTTTTGATTCTAATAAATTTTATTTGTTTCACAAATAAACGCAACTAAAAAAAATTCTGTATGTACATATAAAAAATTTTGCAACTTTTAAACAACGAGGAAATTTTATTTTTATATAAATTAAAAAAATTTGTATAATTTAAAATATTTTCTTCTTTCAAGTTATGGAAAGATTTGTTCAAGTGCTCTATGAAAGCAATTTTCTGAAGAATAAAAAATGACGTATAAGGAACTAACTTTGAAAACGTTAAATTTACATAAAACTAAAAACTAAATTTTTACAGTTTATACGCAGATATTGAAAATAAATATCTGAATTAAAAAAAAATGTAACATTAAGAAACGTGCGCATGGGCGCAAATAGGAGAAATCGAGACTCGTATGAGTTTGACGCACTCGCTTTGTTCGTGTGTTAAACTCAAGGTTAAACTCACATGAGCCTCGATTTCCCTATTTGCATAACTATTAAATTTTTCATAAATTTTTTTTTCAAGGCTGATTAAGTTTTCAAATTCCACAGAAATAAAAATATAAATGTAAATTTAATCATTGTCATGAAAAACAAAATTTTAACAATTATATTTATAAATATCTTGTACGTCATTTGTTGAAATATGATATTTCACAATATATTATAAATGCGTAATGTTTATTTAATTAAAATAAATAATTGCATCTACACGTCATATATTGGCTCAGAAAGAATAAAAAATAGGGATAGTTCGATTATAAAAAGAAATCTAAATATTAATTTTGTTATAGTTGAACTGCAAAGTATCTACAATTATGTTGAACATGATTTTTATAATCGCAACTTTTTCTGCTGGGCTTCTGAGTAAGTTAATTTATTATTATTTTTTTCTATATTATTATTATAAGTAATCATTAAAAATAATTCAACTTTTTGCAAATAATTAAATTGACAGTGATTTTGAATTAAATATTTTTAGTAATTTTATTTGCTAATTTTTTTAAAAATTACAAACAATTATTAAATTTTATAAGAATTATAATTAAAAAATAGTTTGAGATAATTGAATTTGTGAAGAATTTCATTAAAATTATTAAAAATAATTAATTTAGTAAATAATTCGAGTTAAAAATTTTTTAAATAATTGAAATAAAAAAGATTTGAAGAAGATCTGCATTGTATACTAAAAAAAACGTATTTTGGTTAACATTTTTTTAAAAAAATGTAAAAAAAGTCGCATTTATTAAAATAACTCGAAAAAAAATTCGTATTTTTAAATAAAAAGTCAGAAAAAGTCGTAGAATCCGTGGCTTGTATTAAAAAAAAAAAATAACATTTTTTACAAATTATTATTATAATTAATGTACATATTATGAAATTTTCTATAAAATTTTTATAATTTATTATATTTTTATTTATTACTATAAAATTAAAAAAAAAAAAACTTTTATTTAATTTCTTGTAATTAATGGAAATAAAATTTTTACAGGTTGTATATCAAATACAGAGGCTCAATTAGATAGTTATTATAAATTATCAAGAAATGAAATAAGAGAAAAATGTAAAAATAATGCCGTAGATTTAAATGAAATAAACGAAATTTATAAGGACGTATATAATTTTTATTTGGGAAAACATGAATTATCAATTGAGGATGCTTTAAGTAAGACTGACGACAATTGTATGGGAGATTTAAATCTCACGAATATAATTCAAAGTGGATTAAAAGTTATACAAAATTGTCTTAAGGATGATATTTCCCTAACAGATGACGATATTAAAGTTTTAATTAGTAAAATTTTAAACAAATTATGTACTGCAACTCGACTTAGTAAGTTTTTTTTTTTAATATTTATAAATTAATTATTTATCATTAAGTAATTATTAAATTCTCTCATTTTTTTGTAGAATTGTACGAAAATAGTCTTAGCAATTGTATGGATAAGGATTACGAAGTAAGGTGTCGAGAACAGTTATATAAATCAGCAAATGTTACATATGATATTTTAGAAAATGCAAGAGTATTTACTAATATAGGATTGAAATATTCTCCGAAAGAACTAGAGTAAGTTTTTTTAAAAAAATTCACTTTTTTCACATAAACCAGAAAAATTTTCATTTTCTGATGGGGGTTTATAATAAATTATTTTCTACTGATACTATTATACTATACTATAATAATAAAAAAAACAAGTTGTTTATTTCATAACCATTTATAGCTTTCTCATCATGATAAACAACACTTATATTATTAGTTTTAAAAAAATTCGAAATTTCAATTTTTTGTTAAAAATAAAAATAGCAATCAAGTTTATAAATATTGGTAAAATGTAAACTTTAAATACATCAATCGATTTGTTTTAATGCCATAAATACAATTTTGACAAGAATTAATTAAAATTTCAAAAATTCAAAAAAATTCTAATTCGCAAATTCTATACATTTCAGTAGAATATGAACTTAATATAGGTTAATCGATTCGTTTTAATGCAAAAAATAAGTTTTTGTAAAAAATGTTTTAATTTTTATAAAATATTTTCTCTTTTTTTTGAAGGATATTTGATGGGTTGTTTTATTGTTCATCAACTAGAATGTGTACTCATGAACAGAGCCGTGCGCATATGAAATTGACACTCAGTATGATGGCTCCAGTATTATCAGAAAATTAAATTTTTGAAATGTACTACAAAATTTACATTAACAAATTTATATATAATAAATAAATTTTAATTGAAAAAATGAACTTCAGACATAATTTGAAAAATTTTTAAACAAAATGATAAACTTTATTAAAAACGTTATGTTTTTAATTTTCAACTGTTGAAAAAAAATACAAAATAACTTGTATTCTACTAAAACATTTTATAAGTAATCGAAGTTTAATTAAATTTTTGAAAAGTGTTATTTGGTAAAATTATTTAACACAACTTTTGATTTTTCAAAATTGTAACTGAAAAATTTTTAAGTTTGCAAATTATTATTATTATTATTTTCAGACAAATTTTACAAATATAACAGATTATTATTTTTATGTTCAAAACTTTCTGTATAATTACATGTCTTTTGCATTTTTTTTAAACAATATTATTAAATATTTAATAAAATAATTGTAATAAATTATGAAACATAATATATTCCGAGGTGCAAAAGGCAAATTGATGAAAAAAAGTATAAATGACAAATTCAATGTTCGACGAATAGTGGAATTAAAGAAACTTTCCGAAAATTTAATTTGCTGCAATTGCAAAGAAATTTTAAGTTTAATGAACATAGTTCGCGAAAAACGCAAAGGTTTATTTTCTACTTTTCATGTCGCAAGTGTTTAAAATTTTCTTTACTTCAATTATTTAACTATTTTTCGATTTCAAGTTTAATTAATTAAGTTTACAATTTAAAAAAAAATTAGCAAATAAAATTACATACTAAAAATTTACCCCCATGAAGTTGGCGTCGACGCTCAGCGCCAAAAATTGTTTTTCACAGGACAAGAAATTTTTTTTTTTAATTTTCGGTTCAAATAATGCCTTGTGAAATACTTTTCAACTTATTATGTGGAACCAAAAACTTTTTAAAAATGATTAGATATTTTTGGTCCTCTGAAAAATAATTTTCAACGCTGAGCGTCGATGCCAATTTCATATAGAGGTAAAAATTTGAATTTGAAACCTTCTAAAATTTTTTATCTAAAACTTTCTGAAATTCAATAATTTCAACTATAACTCTTCCGAAATATAATTATTTTAAATTATTTTTATAATATTATTGAAAAATTCAATTGTGTGAAAGCATTTTTTAATTAAAAAATTTTTAAATTCAATTTTTGTCTACAATTTCTAATTAATTCTTTATCAACAAAAATCACCAAAAATTTCAATTAAAAATCACTTGAAGTTGAATTAATTTTAAAAATCTGAATAGTAAATCTCTGAAGATTTAATTATTTTTAAAAAATGTTATCTAAAATCATCCCGTGTGGGATTTGCGTTTAATCATTAATTCTATGTATGAATTAATTGATAAATGAAAATATCCGTTAATAGTATGCATAAATTACATATTTTTTAATTTTTTAATTAATTTATTTATTATTACTTTTAATTATATCCGACAGTTAATTAATTAGAACGTTAATTAATAAATTCAATTTGAGTAAGAATTTAATTTAAAATTGAATAATTATTAAATAAATATATTATTTATTCATAACTTAAGCTTATTTATTATTAATTAACTTTTATTATTAATATTATTGATTAAAAAACATTATGGCAAACTTGAGGGCAAGATGAGGGCAAACGTGAGGGCCCATAAGGGCGCCCTCATCGATGAGCACGTCTTTTCCATGAGGGGCCACCAAGGATCATCCATATGCGCCCCTTATGGCATGAGGGCGATCCATAAGGGCCCCCACTGGGGGCCCACATCACTTTTCCACACGGGATTTGATGAATTATTTTCAATTTTGTAAAATTTAACAAAACTTGTTTAAAATTTAATTATTTCTAAAAATTTCAAAACTATAACTCTTAAAAAGTTTAATTATTTTTAATAATTTTAATATTTCTTTAAAAATTCAATTATTTAAAAAAGTTTCAAATAAAAACTCTAAAATTGAATTATTTTCAGAATTTTTTGTTTTATAAATTTGTTCTACTTAATTAAAATTGAGAAATTAATAAAATTGATTTAATATCTAATAACATTAGTTATTTAAAGTAAAATACTTATTAACTAATTAACTTATTAACTAAATTGAATTAAAATAAAAAAATCGACTTTTTTTTGCGCCTGAAATTCGATCCACGGCCTGCTCAGGGTGTGTTATATATTTTTTATTTATGTATTCTAAAAAATAATTTTAAAATTTTAACAGCTTTTGAAAAATCGACTGAACGTGTTGATTTTTCTTCTTAATTTATGTCAATCAGGAGAGCAAATGAAAGAAAAAGTTTTCTCCTCTCCCGAAATGAGATTGGGTCTAAACTTGCCAATTGCATCGACAAGTGGTAAAAATTATTTTTACAATTGTTAATTTTAATTAATAAAATATTAAAATTCAAATATAAATTACAAATATTATAATACAATAAAAAAAATCCAATAATTGTATTTAAAAAAAAAAAAATTTTCAGCACATTCTTCACAATCTTCTTGTTCTCAAGGATTAATTGTTCCATTGGGAAGTGCAGATACAAATTTTCGATGTCTAACGTCAAATATAAGTCGAATTTTCAATGAGGATTGTATTTCTGAAGATATTTTAGTTCACACCCTGAAAAAAGTAATCTCATATTTAGAGGAAAAATCCTCTTCTAATTTCCTCTCAATTTTTCCTCTTAAAACAAAAGTATTCCACTTGAATGTAGAATATTTTTATTCTTTGGTGACTCCTTACTAAAAATCCCTGTATAAGATCTTGTACAATTTCCTGTACAGGATCAGCAACTGAACTTGTACAAGTTCTGACCAATTCCTGTACAGGAAAATGCATACGAATTTGGAACAAGTTCATGTGTGAGATCTTGTACAAGATCTGGTGCAAGATCTTGTACAAGAAAGATATTTGTACAAGAAAATGTACATGATCTTGTACAATTTCATGTATAAGTACTTGTACATGAACACGTTCATGTTCTTGCACATGTATAGTTGTAAATTTTTTTTATTTTAATAAAATTTGAGATTTTGATAATTATTAACCACTAAGATTCGTAACTCATGCATGCTAAAAACTATTGCGCAGCTGTAAAGGTTAATGTAAACTATTGCGCAGCCTTTGAAGTTTTTAATTTTTAGTAAAGAAAAACACGAATTAACATGTGCAAGAACATGTACATTTTCTTGTACAAGTATCTTTCTTGTACAAGATCTTGCACCAGATCTTGTACAACATCTTACACATGAACTTGTTCCAAATTCGTATGCATTTTCCTGTACAGGAACTGGTCAGAACTTGTACAAGTTCAGTTGCTGATCCTGTACAGGAAATTGTACAAGATCTTGTACAGGGCTTTTCAGTAGGGCTAATAATAAAACAAAACAATTTTTTTGAGGTTCTGATGTCAAAAACATTGAATTAAAGTTAAATAAATAGAGAAATCTATTAATTAATATAAGTAATTGACTATAAATCATTAATTAAATTTAATATTTAATTACAGATATTTAATTAAGTGCATGATAATAGCTTTTCTTTATCAGTTTATAACCATAATTGTCAAATTATATGCGAGAGGAAAATCCTCTCAAGTGAAGACTATTACTTTTGATACAATATTTAAGAGGAAAATATGCATCAAAATAAGAGGAATTCGCTAGAATCAAGATTACTTTTTTTAGAGTGCAAGATTTGATTTATTTATTCCAAGGTATTGAGGTAAAAGTATTGAAACTCGATTCAAATTTTGGTTTTCAAATTGATCCACTTGCAAAAGTTAATATATCACAAAAACAAGCACTCTTGAGATTAAGTAAAGTTGGTTATTTACATAATACAAGAGGAAGTTAATAGGTGAGTAATTATATTTGTTTATTTCAAAATTAATGTTTGAATTTAACTTGATTTAAAATTATGATTTAAAACAAAGAATCGTTTATATTAAAAGTTTTTTAACATTTTTTTTTTTAATTATTTTTAATACATTTTTTACATTTAATTTTATATATATTCTAAGATTCAAAATTCATCTTTTATAGTAAAACCAAATTTTTGAAGTATTTTTTTTTTAAAATAAGTTTTTTTTTATAATCACCAAATTGAAAGTTGTTCTGGATATGAAAGAGCGATTAAAAAAAATGTCTGTAATAATATTTTTTTCAAATATTAATACTTTTCAAAATAATTGATAATATTTTAAATGAAACAAATTTGCAACCTTAAAAATTTTTCAGTTACAATTTTGAAAAATCAAAAGTTGTGTTAAATAATTTTACCAAATAACACTTTTCAAAAATTTAATTAAACTTTGATTACTTAAAAAGTGTTTCAGTAGAATACAAGTTATTTTGTATTTTTTTTTCAACAGTTGAAAATTAAAAACATAACGTTTTTAATAAAGTTTATCATTTTGTTTAAAAATTTTTCAAATTATGTCTGAAGTTCATTTTTTCAATTAAAATTTATTTATTATATATACATTTGTTAATGTAAATTTTGTAGTACATTTCAAAAATTTAATTTTTGACTAATACTGCAGCCATTAATCTGAGTTCCAATTCCAAATGCGCACGTCTCTGTTCATGATTACACTTTCTAGTTGATGAACAATCTAACAACCCATAAAATATCCTTCAAAAAAAGAGAGAAAATATTTTATAAAAATTAAAACATTTTTTACAAAAACTTATTTTTTGCATTAAAACGAATCGATTAACCTATATTAAGTTCATATTCTACTGAAATGTATAGAATTTGCGAATTAGAATTTTTTTGAATTTTTGAAAGAAAATCGTTTTTTGTATTTTTTAAAATAACTTTTTCCTTTATAGAAATTTTAATTAATTCTTATCAAAATTGTATTTTTGGCATCAAAACAAATCGATTGATGTATTTGAAGTTTACATTTTACCAATATTTATAAACTTGATTGCTATTTTTATATTTTTAACGAAAAATTGAAATTTTGAATTTTTTTAAAACTAATAATATAAGTGTTGTTTATCATGATGAGAAAGCTAAATGGTTATGAAATGAACAACTTGTTTTTTTTATTATTATAGTATAGGATAATAGTATCAGTAGAA